AGGTACTTTTTGATTTCCTCTTTGATTTCTTCAGTGATCTCTTCAGTGATTTCTTGGTTATTTAGTAACGTATTGTTTAGCCTCCATGTGTTTGTGTTTTTTACATTTTTTTCCCTGTAATTGATTTCTAATCTCATAGTGTTGTGGTCAGAAAAGATGCTTGATATGATTTCAGTTTTCTTAAATTTACCGAGGATTGGTTTGTGACCCAGGATGTGATCTATCCTGGAGAACGTTCCATGTGCACTTGAGAAGAAAGTGTAATCTGCTGTTTTTGGATGGAATGTCCTAAAAATATCAATTAAATCTATCTGCTCTATTGTGTCATTTAAAGCTTCTGTTTCCTTATTTGTTTTCCTTTGTCCATTGGTGTAAGTGAGGTGTTAAAGTCCCCCACTGTTATTGTGTTACTGTCGATTTCCTCTTTTATAGCTGTTAGTAGTTGCCTTATGTATTGAGGTGCTCCTATGTTGGGTGCATATATATTTGTAATTGTTATATCTTCTTGGATTGATCCCTTGATCATTACGTAGTGTCCTTCCTTGTCTCTTGTAACATTCTTTATTTCAAAGTCTATTTTATCTGATATGAGTGTTGCTACTCCAGCTTTCTTTTGATTTCCATTTGCATGGAATATCTTTTTCCATCCCCTCACTTTCAGTCTGTATGTGTCCCTAGGTCTGAAGTGGGTCTCTTGTAGGCAGCATATATATGGGTCTTGTTTTTGTATCCGTTCAGCCAGTCTGTGACTTTTGGTTGGAGCATTTAATCCATTTACATTTGAGGTAATTATTGATATGTATGTTCCTATTACCATTTTCTTCATTGTTTTGGGTTTATTTTTGTAGGTCCTTTGCTTCTCATGTGTTTCCCACTTAGAGAAGTTCCTTTAGCACTTATTGTAGAGCTGATTTGGTGGTGCTGAATTCTCTTAGCTTTTGCTTGTCTGTAAAGCTTTTGATTTCTCCGCTGAATCTGAATGAGATCCTTGCTGGTAGAGTAATCTTGGATGTAGGTTCTTCCCTTTCATCACTTTAAGTATATCATGCCACTCCCTTCTGGCTTGTAGAGTTTCTGCTGGGAAATCAACTGTTAACCTTATGGGAGTTCCCTTATAACTCCTTATGGGAGTTATTTGTCCTTTTTCCTTTGCTGCTTTCAATAATTTTTCTTTGTGTTTAATTTTTGCCAATTTGATTATTGTGTGTCTCGGCTTGTTTCTGCTTGGGTTTATCCTGTATGGCACTCGCTGTGCTTCCTGGACTTGGGTGGCTATTTCCTTTCCCATGTTAGGGAAGTTTTCGACTATAATCTCTTCATATATTTTCTGGGGTTCTTTCTCTCTCTGTTCTCCTTCTGGGACCCTTATAATGTGAATGTTGTTGCGTTCAATGTTGTCCCAGAGGTCTCTTAGGCTGTGTTCATTTCTTTTCATTCTTCTTTCTTTATTCTGTTCCGTGGCAGTGAATTCCACCATTCTGTCTTCCAGGTTACTTATCTGTTCTTCTGCCTCAGTTATTCTGCTATTGATTCCTTCTAGTGTAGTTTTCATTTCAGTTATTTTATTGTTCATCTCTGTTTGTTTGTTCTTTAATTCTTCTAGGTCTTTGTTAAACATTTCTTGCATTTTCTCGGTCTTTGCCTCCATTCTTTTTCCGAGGTCCTGGATCATCTTCACTATCATTATTCTGAATTCTTTTTCTGGGAGGTTGCCTATCTCCACTTCATTTAGTTGTTTTTCTGGGGTTTTATCTTGTTCCTCCATCTGGTACGAAGTCCTCTGCCTTTTCATTTTGTCTGTCTTTCTGTGAATGTGGTTTTCCTTCCACAGGCTGCAGGATTGTAATTCTTCTTGATTCTGCTGTCTGCCCTCTGGTGGATGAGGTTATCTAAGAGGCTTGTGCAAGTTTCCTGATGGGAGGGACAGGTGGTGGGTAGAGCTGACTGTTGCTCTGGTGGGCAGAGCTCAGTAACACTTTAATCCACTTGACTACTGATGGGGGGGGGCAGGGTTCCCTCCCTGTTGGTTGTTTGACCTGAGGCAAACCAACACTGGAGCCTATCTGGGCTCTTTGGTGGGGCTAATGGCAGCCTCTTGGCGGGCTCACACCAAGGAGTACTTCCCAGAACTTCTGCTGCTAGTGTCCTTGTCCCCACGGTGAGCCACAGCCACCCCCCGCCTCTGCAGGAGACCCTCCAGCACTAGCAGGTGGGTCTGGTTCAGTCTCCTATGGGGTCACTGCTCCTTCTCCCAGGTCCTCATGCACACGCTACTTTGTGTGTGCCCTCCAGGAGTGGAGTCTCTGTTTCCCCCGGTCCTGTCGAAGTCCTGCAATCAAATCCCACTAGTCTTCAAAGTGTGATTCTCTAGGAATTCCTCCTCCCATAGCCAGACCCCCAGGTTGGGAACCTGACGTGGCACTCAGAACCTTCACTCCAGTGGGTGGACTCTGTGTTTTAAGTGTTCTCCAGTCTGTGAGTCACCCACCCAGCAGTTATGGGATTTGATTTTACTGTGATTGCGCCACTCCTACCATCTCATTGTGGCTTCTCCTTTGTATTTGGATGTGGGGTACCTTTTTTGGTGAGTTCCAGTGTCTTCCTGTCAATGATTGTCCAGCAACTAGTTGTGATTCTGGTGTTCTCGCAAGAGGGAGTGAGCGCACGTCCTTCTACTCTGCCATCTTGGTTCAGGGCCACCTCAGTTGAATTTCTCCTGGCTCAGCAAATTTAACAGTTGAAAAGAATTTTTAAAATAACCTTTGGAGAGAGGCCTCTTCTAGAGAATTATAGAGCATTCTGTGATCTAAATGTCTCTAAGTAAGGAGACAGATGGTATAGATTTTTCAAATAAAATAATGTGAAGCTAGAGAAGAGAGCAAAGAGATGAAAAATACCTTTATAATTACTACCTGATTTTACCTCCACTACTTTATGTGTAAAAATGTCTTTTAAAATAAGAATTCTGGTAGCACTCCTACATTGTACCAGACTCTATTTCTCTATCAAAGTTGATAAGCAATTTTTTTAGTAAACTGGAATTTATGTATTCTAATGATGGCTGTTCTTCCAAGTGGACTTGTTGGATGATAGCACATTCTGGAAGCTCCTCTTTGTGACTTGTCTTTACTGCCGTGGTCCTATGTGTACCTGTATCCTGACTTCCTACTTGCCACTTCTCTGAGACTTGTCCCTTGCCCTCAAGGAAGTTTCAGTAAAGGTGTTTTGACGAGTAACCGTCCAAGACGTAAAATAATCAGGGACCTGGACGTAACAGTATGTACTTGAGTGCAGATGGACATGGTCGAGCTGGGAGGGGGCTGGGTATTGGGGAAAGGCTTGTGAACAGGATGAGAACTGAGCTATGATCACTGAAGAAGGATCACAGTGTATTCCAGGCAAAGAGGCACCACGGAAACGTTTACAGAGTTGGAATGTGCAGGGCATTTGCAGGCGCTGGGAGGAGGTTTGAGGTGTCTGTGTGATGCGGGACCACGACCGAGAAGTAGAAAGCTCTACAAAGGAGGTGTGTTTGCCTAAACCTTCCTTTTCATTCTGTCCCAAAGCCAATTTACCATAAAGTTTTCAATAGCAAATCTTAGGAGGAAAGCAACTAGTTCTCTGTGGATGTGAAATACTACTCCGTGTCAGACCAGCAGTGCCTGTCTTTACCGAGACACTAAGAGATATGTGGCTCCTGATTCCAAGCTTGAAGTTGAGGTGTGTCTCCACTCCACTCTGACTTGCGCAAATTTCCCAACATAACCTTGATGCTTGTGAACAGGATTAAATCCTCTGCTGCTGTTTTGAACCCATCTTCTGCCTGTTAAAAACATCTCTTGCACCAATGTAGTGCTTTGCCCTTTGCAGATTTGTTGTCCCTGGATGTTCCTTAGGGTCCAGGGAGCAAGGTGATCATGTTGCCCCATTGCCCAGACAGCCTCACTTTCTGCTTGTGTCCAGCTGTCATCATAAAAAGCATTCTTTTTTGATGTGAAAAGAGTCCTAGAAAAAAAGAAAATTGGGGCTTAGAGAGGCATGGCTGTCTAGAATCATTTCCACCCCCTTGTCTTAAGCACCTTTTCTGGGTAATGCAGGAGTCTTTCTCCTGGGTGATGCAGGTGGTTAATTATAAGTTGTTCATTTTGAAGTTAAAAATCATTCCTAAATAAATGAATATTCTTATTAGAAAAAGGTACACTCTCTTAATGAAATAATTATATCATTGATGCACAATACTTACAGTATTATTTCTTCATGCCAGTTGGAGACTATTATTTATTCCATATTTATTGCTACCAACTATGTACAAATAGCTGCACTTGACATAAAGATCATTCAGTGATAAATATGACACATTAATGCTCTTGTGATCAGTATTCAACTATGATTGGTCCTGTTTTATTAGATGGTTAAAACCACATAACTGAAATTGATACAGCACAGTCAGATTGGTGATCAAGTAGATATTTATGAAAAAACCCAACATAGAATGTGACCCATGTTGCATGCCCACTGTTGAGGGCACTGAGCTGCTCAGGCAGACCCATAGCAGGGTGGGTAGGGGAGATTTAGTGCTTGCGACTATTCAGAGCAGCCAGGAAGACAGAGAGTAGGGAGATGCAAGCACGTGGCTCGCCGGGGAAAAGACGGGTTCAAAAGCAGAGAGAATTCTAAGGTGCTAATGCAGGGATGGAATTCAGAGACAGGGTGGCCCACAGAGGGCAGGAACAGGAGCAAAGCAGAGCAGCTAAGGTGATGACGGAGTGCCTGGCGCTCCTTTTCCTTGGCGACCGGCATCCCTCATGATGCTTGGGAAGAGTGGCCTACCTTAAAGGCCCGAGGTCCGAATGGCCACTAGCCACGCGCTTTTATGCCTTGGCTTAACTTATGCATTTTGTTTTGTTTGCCGTACTTGAATGTCGCGTAAACTGTAGTCATAGTCTTGTCAGAGGAATGTTGGTTGCCTTTACATTTACTATTGTCCCATTTTCTTTTAGGTTTTGTGAATGATTCTGTTACTAAATCTATCGTGGCTTTGCGCTTGACTCTGGTGGTGAAGGCCAGCACCTGTGCACCAGGGGAAAGCCATGCAAACGACTTGGAGTGCTCGGGAAGAGGAAGGTGCACCACGAAGCCCTCAGAGGTGAGGGGACACCTGGGAGCTTTAAAAATATATATTTACATGAGACTATATTTACATATAAACACACGCACACACATATATATACACACACATATGTACGCACACAAACGCGTATATATACACACGTATACACACATCTACACACACCTACACCCACGTATACACACACACATACACATATACATATGTGTGTGTAGGTGTGTGTGTGTGTGTATATATATATATAAAGGAGGAAGGTGGAGAGAGCAAGTGCATTTGCTGAATGTCTTCCCGAATTTCTGGTTTTAATTATTTGTATGCAACATATAGATAAATTTCCATATAATTTTTAAACAAAGTACTAAAAAATTTGTGCAGTGCTGGGCCTCCTCATTCTGGTGTCACATAAGGATTTTGTGAGAAGTATTATCATATCTGGTAGCAGAATCGAGAAGCGGAAGAAAGAAAAGCTAAGACAGAGTCATCTCCTTCCCACTTGCGACCTGATTCCCTCCTTAGAGTTTGCACGTCTCCAGGGCCGACAGCAGAGTTACAGAAGTAAGGGAAAAGTAAGAGGAGGAAGGGGGAGGAGGTAGGGGCTAGAAGGCTGACTCACTGTGTTTGGCCTTCGTGGACCAGCGCCATCAACTCTGGAAGACCTGAGCCCTGTCTCCTCCTCTTTTTAGCAGCTGAGGTCACGTGGGCAGGGGGCAGGGGCTGAGGCCATGTCCCGAGTGACGGGGACCAAGAGTCAGACCAGGAAAGAACCAGCCACCCTGGAAGCCAGTCTCCATCACTATAGGGCTCCCTTAGAACAATTTCGACAGGTGGAGTCCAAGCTCCACCTGATCAGGGTGAGACAGGGAGACTCTGCACCTTAGCAGGGGCCCTGTTCCATTGGGGGACGCCCATCCGTCTCACCACTTGCTACGTCCAACTCCTGCATCTTTTTCTCCAGTCCCCTCTCCCCAGTTCTGCACATATTTATATTGAGGTTTGTGCTACGTGAAAGTGGGTTCCGCAGATCCCTCAAAGAGCATGGTTTATTTTAGACCAGTGTGAAGGGTAACACAGGTAAATTTTCTTTGGTGCCACCTCCTTGTGGTAATGTCAGCACGTGCAGTAACAGTGGTGTGAACTTAGACAAGTGAGAGGTCTGGGGCTAATGGACAAAAGGGCTGTTGAAGACACTTGCAAGTACTGCTCATGTGTCTTAGGTGTAATATTGCAGGGGCTTAAATATACCATTTTCTCGTAAGATGCCCCCTGTAGGAGGCAGAATGTGGTTAGGAGCCCAAGAAAGTAGCAGGGATAATAATTTCTGATAAATCTTTGAAAAGGGGCACGAGGGTAAACCAAAGCCACAACCAAATCCCTGGGGGAAGGGAGAGTGACTGGCGTGAAGCCAGGAGGTGAAGCGTGAGATTTCTTTCACAAGCCAAGCCTGCCCTGTAGATCCCGTTTTCTTTCGGCCAACTTGGGCTTGCCTCTTTTCTGTCCTGAGGGGAAACTTTATTTATCAACTCCTTCTATGCAAAAAGAAACAAAGTAAAGGGTATTGAGTGTTCTTCTATGACCATCAAGGCTAGGGAGGGGTACAAAAAACGTGGAAGCCGTGGGGAACTAATCTGATTGGGAGATTCAAGCTATGTCAGATGGAAGCAGTGGGGAGCTTATCTGATAAGGAGGTTCTAGGAGAGGTGAACGTGAGAGGCTGAGGAATGCAACTGCTCGAGGTGGAAGAGGTCAGACCCTGCAAGTGAGGCTGCAAAGCGGAGGCACACGGGTCTTGCCCAAATTCATTCTTAACATCCCCAGTGAACAGTTCTGCGGCCTGATTAGCCCTTGAAAAGATCATATTGGTGAAAGAGAAATGTCTTCATCGAAGAACCGAGGGCTGTGTTTAGAACCTCGGGCTAACACAGTGGTTGAGACTTCTTGTGCGCTTTCTCTTCTAATGGATGACCCTTCCGGGGAAACTTTAAATCTGAAAAGCAGTCACCCTGTTATCTTAACACATGCGTGTTGGTGGCGTGCAGCCTGCCTGGGGGTCTCATGTGCGTGAAAGCTCTAGGTAAGAGGCTCTGCCTGGTGGCTTAGAATGGACTCATTGCAAAGGCAGTAGCAGTATTAAGCACCTGGCACGTAACTTGGCAAACATTGCCAGAGTGCTTTGTTTTTTGTGAGAACATGACTCAAAAGCCTTGGAATCCATACTAATATCAGCACAGCTCCATTATGGGTACCAGGCAAAGGCTCAAGCCCTAGGAAGTCCTGGTCTTCCTACAGATGAGTGTTTCCGGTTAGGCCGGGTTTAGAAATAAGTCATTGGCCTGAACCGGTTGCTTTATCTATTGCTTGATAACACCTGCTGTCCTTGCTCTACACCCCATGTGGTCTAGGTAGGGGACACTGTCCTTCCAGGAGCCTGTGTGTCTGCTATCAGCATGCCTCTCCATCTTTTTCCCTTTTTCAAAAGCTTTTGCCTCTTCCGTAGGGCTCCCAGTAAATTCCCGATTCTGAGGTTTGTTTACCTCAGCTCTGACTAACAGAGCGGAGCGATGAGCCAGCCGTGAGTTGGGCGCCTGGTCACCCTTCCAGCTTCCAGCCTCAGCCCCTCTCTCAACCCCTGCACGTCCCGCCCTCCCCGCCCCGATTCCTCTCTCGCATCTCCCTGGTTTTGCTCATGCTGTTTCCTCCATCTGGAATGCTCAGCTGCACTCTGCCCCCTGCCCTCCGACCTGCCCAAATATATTTCAGGCTCAGCTCAAAATCTTTTTGCTTCTGGAAGCTGTCCCTCGTCCCCCAGTGCAAGCTCCCTCCTCTCAGGCCCCGTACATTTTATTTTTCTTATGGGACACATGACATTTGGTTTATGCTTTTATTTCATACATGCATTATTATTTGTGTTCACTTTAGTTCACATGCCACTTCCTGGGCGGAGTCACTGCTTGTCATGGGCCTGGTACTGCCCTAGGCTCTGGGGGATGCACATTTGCTCGTATAAGACATGCCCTTTGGGAAGGAGCTGGAAGGTTCGGGAGCTGGGAGCTGGACACTAAATCATGGATTAGAGCAGTGGGAATGTGTGCTTTGGGAGAGTCTTGTAGGTGTGTTCTGGGAGCCCAGAGAAACATCCAGCTCAGACGTGGGATCATTGGGAGTTTCCGAGGGGCATCTCGGATGCTGAGTTCCTTGATATTAGGAGTCACACCTGGTTCCCTTGGTATCCATTCTAACAACTAGCAAGGTGCTTTCTGCATGGGAGATGCTCAAAAACTGCCTCTGAACTAAACGAACAGAATGAATAAAAGAACAAAGATGTGATGGGAAACCAGTTCTCTAGGTTTTCAGTTAGATATGTAATTTGAGTTATATGTTTGGTAAATATGGGAACATGAAAAGGACATGGTGTATTTGTTTTATACGCTCATGGATCAGATTATATTTTCTGATCTAAGGCCTTCCCACAGATTGTGTGATCCAGAATGTTGCTGGAACCCCTTAGGCGCATTTTAAGCAGTATTGCCAATCCTTTCCCTATCATTTAAAAAAGAAATAGGTCAGAATAATGTGAACAAAGGGAATCTTCGATGCCGTTCTTTTCTTGGTCTGAAACCACTGGCGAACTCCTCTTTAGGTTAGAAAGTAGCAATGGGCCGCAGGGCAGAAATAGGCGTCACGTTCCTTCGTCCATCACTTCTCTGAGAGCTAATTCTTCTACCGTCATCAGTGTGAATAAAAGGCCCCTCATGAGACCTTGAAAAGGGCCTGAGACCTGGTAGGGTTGTGAGAAAGAAATGGGGTGACAGTGTAGATGAGAAAGCCCATCAAAGCATCAAAGGAAAGGCTTTCACTGTATCCTTTTGAGCATTAAAATAGCAGCTGACAGAGTGTGGAGTGGCTTTTAAAAGTTCTGTTTGGTATATAGTGGGGTTAGGTCCCCCATGGTTCTGCCAGCACCGGAGAGGAATTTCTCCTTTAAGTAGGGAACAAAACACAGCAAGAGAGGGTCAGAGTAGCACACTAGTGGATGGGAAAATACTTGATGAGCCAGTGGTTAGTGACATGACAGAAAAAAAGACTCCTTTATTCTTCTAAGGGAAGGGGGACCCTTCTCTTGACTGAACAAATAGCTTATTGACAATGCTCATTAAAAGCATCTGAGCCAGAGTATAGATGCTTAATGCCAAAATGAAGGTGTCTTGAGATACATTTATTTGCTAATAAAAGATGGGTGATTTCTCCCACAGATTATACTTGCAGAAACCACTCTGTGGGCCTTTGAGAGACAAAGTACTTTTATGGATAACAAAAATAGAATAATAAATATTAGAAACAGACTAAATGCAGAGATCATAAAAGCAAGTTCACTAGAGGCGGGGCAGGAAAAAAAACACAGACGTAGAGAATGGACTTGAGGACACGGGGAGGGGGAAGGGTAAGCTGGGACGAAGTGAGAGAGTGGCATGGACACATATACACTACCAAACATAAAATAGATAGCTAGTGGGAAGCAGCCACATAGCACAGGGAGATCAGCTCAGTGCTTTGTGACCACCTAGAGGGGTGGGGTAGGGAGGGTGGGAGGGAGACACAAGAGGGAGGGGATATGGGGGTATATGTATATGTGTAGCTGATTCACTTTGTTATAAAGCAGAAACTAACACATCATTGTAAAGCAATTATACTCCAGTAAAGATGTTAACTAAATAAATAAAAAGAAAAATTATCTAAAACTTGGAAATGGGCAAACAGAAAAAAGAAAAAAAAAAAAAGTAAGTTCAGCCCAGTTGTTGCTGTTTCAGTGGTCAAGGATCAGCTCGTCTAGAATTTCATGGACTTGTGTCTAAATTATAATTCTTGGTGCTAATGTAATTAAAGAGCCATTGCTGCCTTTTATGTTACAGACTGAAGGATGATCATATCTTTGCCTGCCGCAAAAATATGACAACATTTTGAGTCATTTATTATAAATTACTTTAAAACATTGTGAATTATGTCCCAAAAGGTAGATGTTT